AGATTTTCTTGCCTTATTCCTGATCTTAATGGAAATGTGCTGTTTTTTCATTGGTTAAGAGGCTAGCTTTAGGTTTGAAGTATATATATGCCTTGTTAGGAAAGTATTCCCCAATTTTTATTTTCATATGCGTTTTCTTTATACATAGTTTGGAAAATTGTCAAATATTTTTAAACAATAATCATGACTTCCTCCCCTCAGATTAAGATTACATATTAAAGAATTTCCTGATATTGAAACAACCTTAAGTTTTGGACTAAACAACCCTTGATATTAGCACCTCTTCTTTGTTTAAGATGGTGTGTATTCTGCTGTTAATGCTTTATGTAGTTTTTGGTCTATAATTTTATTTTTGCCCCCTCTTTTGCTTATTGTTGTCTTCGGGTTTGGGCATTTTCTGCCATCTGTTTTGCTAAGGATATGATTTTGTGTGGCTTTTTCTCCCTGCTTCTTTGAATATTTTTATAGAATATATGGATAACACAGAGCCTAGTGCATCTGCCCTTGTCTTCAGCACCTGGAATTTCCCAGTGTCTGCTTTTAAAATCTTAGAAATTTCAGTAATTATATAAATTAAAGTCAAGTGGCTTTTAAAAATCACATTCATTAAACTGTAGGTTATGTTTTGAGACAAGAGTCTTGATTCACATTACTTAGGAAAGAGCTGCTTCAGGCAGAGTTATGTGTATTGCTTACTTATATCAGGTTTTACGAACAATTAATTTAAATTGTTAGTGCCTACAATTCTAGAATCATAACTCTGTAATGGGTTTTGAGAGCCAGTCTTGCTTTCATCTCTTTGCTTTTAAGTGAGTATATTTAACTATTCAGGACAGGTAGTTTTTAAATCTCTACCCTCCCCAGGATCCCCACTCTAGTAGCTTATCTTATCATCGTCCTACAATTTGACCAGTTAGAATTTTTTATGTTAGAATTTAAGCCCGTTCTTCTTGCTTTGAGCTTCTGTTGCCATAGTGATAAACTGTTCAGGATTCTGTCATTACTTGAAGACAATAATAAACTTGACCCTTTTTTTAAAAAAATCTATAAAATAGCATTCATTCCTTTGGCTTTTTTAAAAATATAATTTTCTATCCCATTGGTGGCCTTGATAATTTATCTTTGATTCCTCTTCAGTTTCTCCAGTTCACTTATAATGTATAATTGACCCTAACTTATTTTTTAAAAGGACTTATTAACTACTATGAAATTTATCAAAAGAAGTAATTCACAACATTTGCATGATTTTTTTTAATACTCTACAGTTACAGTATTTCTTCTGTGGCAGTTCTGATTCACTGATGATATATAAATCCAGCTGTATCTACCAGGTGTATTTTTAATCAATCATTAAAATAATCATATTTGTAGCTTCTCTTATTTAGAGCTTGTGATAGGTCAAAGACTATCTGGAACAAAGGTCTCTCTAGAGTAATGAAAAGAATAGAGCATATAAAGCAGAAGGTATCCATTTCTTTACAAGCCAATTCTATCTTAGTTGGTAGTATCTGGTAGATATTAATCACTGCTTTGACAGGTGCTTTAAATTAGTAATTATATATTAGTCCTTTTCATTAAAATAGTTTCTTCACCATTAGCATAGTATAGTGCTAAGAGTAATGCAGTTATGTTTATGAAAGTATTTTGTATTTCAGAAGCCTGGCCCACTGCACATTCAGTTTTTAAAATTTGTAAAGTTAACGTATAAACTAAAACAGACAAAAATTAAAGTAGTTGAAATATAATAAAGTATGTAGTCAGTTATTGGATATGGCAGCATTCAACTCCAACTAATACAGACAAAGAAAGGGACTTTACTGGCTGATATAAATTGTGGAAATTATCTTTTGTTTCTTTCTCTTATGATGAGGGACCAACAAGGGAAATCCACATTTGTAAATGCTACTTTTGCTGTGGAAGCATTGCTTCACCACCTCAGTTAAAATGATTTTTTCCTTTGATATATTTGTTGCATCTAGTTTATCCCCATTTTACCCCCTCCTGTTACTGATATACCAGATGTTCTTGAATAGTCACTGAGGTCTTTGATTCCTAGTTCCACTTTTCTGTATTTTCTATCCCTGCCATCATTTTACAGTGACTGTACCTCCATATTGTGGAACATTTCAACACCTTTTGCCTTTTAGTTTATCATATTCACACTGTGGTACTCTTTATCTTTATTCCACATCCTGGGCCTTATTACCTAAAACCATTCATTTGAAAGACCTAAATATCTCTATTTTCTCTTACCGCTCTCCTCATTGAAGGTACTGAAACTGGCAGTCCTTGTACTTCTCTTTTTCTTCCAATCTATTATCCTAGCTCCCTTGCCCCCTTTCCAGCTTAGAAACTGTCTGCTACTCATCTGTGTGTTCACTTATACATGAGCAAAAGCTATTGAATATGAGTTCTTTCACTTCCTTACTACCTTAGAATTTCTGTATCCTAATACCTTTTTATTTTTACTTCCTATTACAGTGAAAACATTCTTTCCCCAGTTACTTCTAAAGTGAACTGTACTTTCATGCCATTTCCTCTGTTACCTGCAGGGTCTTATTTCATCATTTACCCTCTTCTTCACCTTCATTATATTGCTGTCTAGCTCAGATTCTTACATTGTGTTCAAGATCCAGTTCAAATTGTGTGTCTCTTGTGTAACCTTAACCAATCCCTTAATGAAAATTACTTTTACGTTTTACTGTGCTTTGTTTTTGCAGTAATGGAATCTGAACCTATGGCCTTAGCATTGAGCTATATCCCTAGCCCTTTTAAAATTTTTTATTAATTAGACAGGGTCTGACTGAGTTGTTTAACTGTCCAGGCTGGGCTTGAACTTATGATCCTCCTGCCTCAGCCTTTCAGAGTGCCCTGATTACAGTTGTGCACGACCAGGCTTGGCTTTTTTCCTCTACTTTGTACTTCTAAATATAAAGCTTATTTTCTTTTGACTTGTGATACACTTTAAACATTAAAAACCTTCTAATCAGGCCTGCCTTGCAAGCGCAAGGACTCAAGTTCAATCCCCGGTACCAAAAAAAAAAAAAAAAAAAAAAAAAAAAAAAAAAACCTTCTAATCAGAAGAGAGATACTTTAATTCCTAAATCTGTAACACTGTCTTTTGAAATAGTAGTATCTACCTTTCTTGAACTCTTGTTATTGGCATTTAACATCATTGGTGTTATTCCTAAACCCCATAATATCTATTAAAATTAATTTTATTTATTTTAAAGTCTATTATCCCTTAAAACATTAAATGTAACATCTTAAATTATGAACTAATTTTATTTTTTTAAAATCCAATATCAATTTTAGATTCTAACTAAGTAGAGTTTCAGCAAAATGAACTGAAGACGGGCTTGTGCTGTATAGCGTCTCCTGTAACCCACCGTGATGGTGTTCTTACTTATTTCATGCTTTACTGGTGTTCAGATACTCTTTACCATTCATTTCTTTGACTTCAGCTTTTGTATGTAGGGCACATTTTTTTCTTTACTGTAGACTTCCACAGCAGCAGTCTGGCCATGAATGCTCTCTTCCCAATTCTTGTTTCTTCTTGATCATCCAAGCACTATATATATCCACATTCTTGACCAGAGCTGGGATGTACTTAGAGCCTGTATTTTCTAACTCTGGCTCTAGGCTAGGACCCACAGTGCTCTCTCCTCTGTATACATCATTATGATTTTGTAGAAATGAACCTTTATTAATTCAGTAATTTAAAAGCACCAAGTTATTAACATCCATAAACGTTTATGGAGGAAATGCATTTATGTAGGAAATGTTTGAGAGGGTGCTAGCAATGCGGCTAAAAATATGAAGTAAGAATGCAACTAGTACTGACCAAGGGACAAGAAGAGGGGCAGAACTGTCCTCTTCCTCCAGCACTGCTGCTTGTGGCATTTATTTGTAATTATCTCAAGCAGTTGGTCATCAGATTTCTTACAAGTTATATTACCTATTCGACTTACACATTTAGTGTCTGAACCAGTCAACAAATATTTATTGAAATCCTGTACTTAGAGCATTGCTGGAGGCACATTCTATTTGGGTATATAGGACATGCTAAAACAAATAACAAATTATGTTTAAGTGTTTAAAGAATTTTCAAATAGAGGAGGTTGAGGGCCTATCCTGCCAAACCTAATTAATGTAAAGTATTCTCTATCTGATGAGTCATTTCCTCACCAGAAATGGTGTGTGTGTGTGTCTGTGTCTGTGTCTGGTAGTAGGGATTGAACCCTATATCCTTTGCACTGAGCTACTTCTCCTTTGAGGCAGGATCTCACTGAGTCACTAAGTTGCCTAGGCTGGACTGGAATTTGCAGTCTTCCTGCCTCAGCCTCCTGGAGGGAGATACTTTGCATTTTAGGGCTGTGCCTGAGCATGTGTCATTTCTTTAGAAGAGAGTGCAGGTTGTATCCTCTTCAAATTTTTATCTCAGGAATGAAAAGCTCATAAGGTAGAAATTCACTATTTGTGAATTCGATTTTATAGAAAATTTTATTTTATAGACTACAATATGGTATCCTGCAAGAGACAGTTTTTCTTTTAAATCTGTAGCCTTTACAGAGCGAAAGTGAAATAGCAGTACATCTTACAGCATTTTATAGATTGTAAAATCTGTAAGTTGTGTGAGTGTGAGATGTCTTCTCCTAAACTGAACTGCTCATGCCTTAACACATTTCAGTACTCTTCTGTTGACGGCCAGTTGTTCAGGGTGAACCCTATGTTTGTTAAAATATTATTCATCAGTTTTTTCTCCGTTATTCCTGGGCAGATATTGTGTTTCATTGTTTTAGTGCTCACAGTTTCCTGTTGTAAAGGAAGTAATTTGTGTTTCGTCACAGTTACACGCCAGTGCAACCTCTGATCATATTGGATCTGCCTGTTTGCATAGCACAGTGCCTGGTGTCAAACCTTTCAGTAGAATGATTGAATAATTCAGTGAAAAATGAACTATAAATTTGTAATATATTTTGTTGGGTTATGGTTTTTAGGTTAAAACTTCAACAACAAATTGTGAATACTGAAAATGCAGAGAAAGAAAAAAAAGAAAATTCTGATCTGAAACAGGTATGATTTCAGGATATATTTTATTTTTAATTTAAGTGCCTCTTTAAATCTGTTTTGCATAGTTTGAATTTTTCTTGTCAGTGTTAACGATAATCTCACCACGGGTGATAATATAGATGAGATTGATATGTAGAGATAAAATGCTTCAGCCTTTCTGCTTAAATTTAGTAAGCTTCTTTTGCTAATGCTGTTTTTTATTAATATATTTATATGTTGTGGCCCATACAAAATTTTAAAAGTTATAGTTAAAGGATAATATTTAGGCCAGGCTTGGTGACATGGGCCTGTAATCCCAGCACTCAGGAGGCTGAGGCAGGAGTTGGCTGCTAGTTCAAAGCCAGCCTGAACTTAATAGTGAAACCCTGTCTCAAGAAAGAAAAAAAAAAGCAGTGTTTAATATTCTAAATTTTAAAAATTGTTTAGAAATTTTAGTGAGGTTTAAAGTTACTTGAGTAATTGGCTTATAACTTTACATTTATCCATGAAGCATGTCTTGCTATGTCCCTGTGTCTTAACAGTTGTTATTTATAGAAGAAATTTATATTTTATTTAAAGTAATTGGGCTTCAGGAAAAATTTATATAAGGTTGAGCAAAATATAGAAAAATGTTCTTTTCTGAATTCTATTTTCTTTTTTTGTTGAAAATCCATTTTCCCCCTATGTATGATGTAGAAGATTCCATTTCTAGGATTTATGCACACGTGTTAGCTTGTACTGCCTTGAGTGTGCCATTATGGTTTCCAGGTCTTAACCAGGAGGACATGATGTTTGATTCCCTGAGAGAAATTACTTAATATCCTTGACATCCTATGAATATAGACAGGGGGTAGGCTCTTTGCAGGTTGCTTATTTAGGAAACTATAATACAGATTTAATGTTTGCCATTCCAGTTAAAAATAAATAATAGTTTGCATGAAGAAATTCTAAAACAGAAATTTGAGACATGCAGTTTTACTTTATTGTGCTAACAGTTGCTTTATGGACATATAGTCCTATCTTATTTGATTTTGTTGCTATTAGAAAGATAATAGGATTACGTCCCTTTGATTTAATTTACTGTATAAAGAATCTTGTTACTTTTACCTCTTGAATCTCATGACAGGTTCTTTTGATCCCTGACTCTCTACTCTTTATTTGCTCAGAAATGTGTCACAGACTGGCTAAAAGAGAGAGAGAGAGAGAGAGAGAGAGAGAGAGAGAGAGAGACTTTTATTGTTTATTAATTGATAAAAGTAGCTAGTAGGGCAAGTTGATGTAACTATCTGCGAAGACAACTTAGGTATAACTTAGAAACATTATGAATCTTTGTAGCGTATTAATTTGTAACTACATAATTATCCACTTTTGATGAGAAAAAGTACTCCCAGATGAAGGAAAATTGGGATAAAGCCTTTGAGTGACATTAAGGGGTTCGGTGTATGGCTCTGGAGACCAAAGAATCTCTAGCATCCATTAGATTTCTCAAAGCACCTTTCTTCTGACCAACACTGGACATACAGGATGCCTTTTAAAGTCACACGCGGTGCGAGTGACCCCTCCTGTATTAATGCTCAGTGTTTCCTGACTGCTTAGAGAGCAGGCCTCTGGAAGGTTGCTGATCCCCCTGTGAGCGAGGGAGGACAGGTTTCTGCAGCTGTTTTCCCAGCTGATATGCTGCAGAATCAGTCCTTTTTAAGAAGGCAAGGGGAAAGCTAGAGTGATAGACTCGCTCTGATTGTTGAATTCTCTTTCTTCTCTGCTTGCTTTCTGCCTGATAACCTGCTCCCCATTCCCAATACCCCTCTGCTATGCTTTTTTGGGGAAGAAAAGAAGGGGCTCGGTGATTGAGGACCTCGTGGTTACTGGTGATCTCTGGTTAAGAGTCAAAAATGACCTTGCTGCTACTATTTATTTTCTCATTTAGGTGGCATCCTTGAGCATGTGTATTGGCTGGGTAGGGAATTTGGCAGGGGAGAGGATTACTGTCGCCTCTTCTTACATAACACACTGCATCTGTTTGGTGGCCGTATATTCACTGTTTGCTTCTCCTTTTAGAAAATCAGTAGTTTGCAGATTCAAGTGACCTCACTGACCCAGTCTGAGAATGAACTGCTGAATTCAAACCAAATGCTGAAGGAAATGGTGGAGAGATTAAAGCAAGAATGCCGGAATTTAAAAAGCCAAGCTGAAAAAGTACAACTAGAAGTTGAAAAGTAGAGTTTGCGCTTATGTATAATTTTTTCTTTCTGCTATATAATATGTAGTTGTTTTAGAGATGATTCCAGCATTGAATATGTTTCTGTTTAGTTACAAATGCATTTTGATAGTGTTCAATAGTCTCAGGTAATGTACTTTCCATCTGTGTAAAATAAGCGTCACAGACTTTTAAATTGTTTCTTTTTAATTTAAACACATAGGAAAGAAAGCCTTTAAAATTCTGCCTGAGCAAACTATTCTGAAAATGCTCAAGGAAAAACTCTTCTTTATTGAGCAAACCCAAATGTTTCTTCAAAAATGTGTTCTTCTGAATGCCAGAGAACAGGATGACTTGGCTGTGGGGTGTGTGTGTGTGTGAAACTTGCTGCCTGGAATTAGAACTCATCTTTTAAATTTTACCTTTAGAAAACTAATTGATTTGATTTTGGGCTTTGAAATTTGTTAGTAGCACCCACTGATGGGGAAGTTATTTTGGTTATGTTCAAGACCTATTATTCTCTAGAAAATTCTGCATGGTGGAGTAGGACTAGGGATGTAGCTCAGTGGCAGAGTGCTCACCTAGCACACAGGAGACCTTAGTTTGATCCATAGCATTACAGTCAGTCAATCAATGAATCAAGAGCTGTGGTAGAACACTGTACCATTTTGCATTTTCTTTGTCTTTTAAACAATTATTATATATTTTATATCAAGCATTTTCACATTTTTTTTTCTGAAGTCTTACCACATAATATTTTTCCTGTGGTTTTTTTTTTGTTGTTGTTATTTCATATTTTTAAGGCTTGTTCACAGTTTTCATATATTGGGTTAAATTTCAGGAAAAGGAAGTAAGAAAGACGTTCATGATGTGTTCAGTGATCCAGAGAGACTAATGATGTATTCTTACTTCACAAAACAGTAGAAGTTTGTATCTTAGAATCTTTGTTTTGAAATGAACTGAAGAATTTTAATTTATCAAGTTTGAGTAATTTATTGTTGGTTTCTGAATGTATTCATAGGCTTGTGTAGAAGAAAATCATTTGGCCTAGCAGTTAGAATGTAATTTTATATTTTTGTCTATAGAGTCTCATCATGTAGTTCTGACTGGCCTTGAACTTAAGAGTGTTGCCCAGGCTGGACTTGAACTCCAATTGATCCTCTTGCTTCAGCCTCTCCAGTTTTCGATTATAGGTGTGAGCCATCACACTTAGCTAGAATGTAATTTTAAACCCAGCTAACATAGTTTAAATCTGTGTGACCTTAGGCATGTAATCTTTTTTGTCAGGGTTTATTATACTCATTTGTACCGCCCAAAGTAAGGATAATGAGAATCATGTAAAATATGATAAAGAATAGTTTTACTGTTATATCACCTTAAAATATCATTTATATGATGGGCTGGGGATTTAGCTCAGTGGCACCATGCCTCCCTTGCAAGCTCAAGGTCCTGAGTTTGATTCCCAGTACCGCAAAAAATAAAAAAAAATTTTTTTAAAAATCATTTATATGAGGCCTGGGATTTAGCTCAGTGCCTCCGCCACCTGCCTCGCAAGCACAAGGATCTGAGTTTGATCCACGGTACCAAAATAAATAAATAAATATCATTTATATGAATTTTACTCTAGCTAGAAACCTACCATGTTAAGACTTGATACCAGGCTTCATTTTTAACCAGGTTCATTAGGCCAAATTTTCATAGCTGGATGGTTATTATAGTCAAACCAGGTTATTAAGTGCTATTAAGTGAGTCCTTTTGAAAGTTAATGAACTGCTTTAAGCCTTGTGTTCCTTATCTTAAGAAAAGACTAGGGGCTGGAGATGTAGCTCAGTGGCATGCAAGGTCTTGAGTTCAATTTCAGGTACCCCCCGCAAAATACTTACTAGAGAAGTACTTACCTTAGAGGGTTTTTGTGAAGATGAAGTATGCATACTAGTCTAAGGGAAGTACCTGGTTCATATGAAGAGCTGTAATGATAGTACTGGCAAATTTTTGGGCCAAGCATAATGCCTGGATTTAGAAAAGGAGGGATATGGTCAGGCACATAGTGAGTTGGTTTGTACTTGTGATAATCTTTTTAATCCTAAGAGTTTTTATGAACTTAAATATTGTGTACATATTCTTTTGACAGGGCATTGGAAGAGAAACAGATACAGTGGTTGGAAGAAAAGCACAAGCTTCATGAACGTATCACAGACAGAGAAGAAAAGTATAATCAAGCTAAAGAGAAACTACAACGAGCTGCAACTGCCCAGAAAAAGGCAAGAAATTCCTATTAAAAATGATTTCTACAGAGTAAAGCATATATTTTAGGAGAATAAAATATGTAAATGAAGCTAAGATTTTACTGACATGTTTAATTTGATACGTAAGCATTATATTTTACTGTGAATCTTGCAGATGTAAGTTGGGAAAATCCAAGCCATCTAATTTCTAAGTTTTGTTTAGAGTGGATGTGCATTGATCCAAAGAAATGGTATTTTTCAGAGTAATTTGAAGTTTCCAGGCCAACCCATACACATCTAGCTTATTCTTCACTTACGTCATCATATGCTTAGGCCTGTGTTGACTTTGCCTGAAATTTGCAATATTGTTTTTGTAGTTAAAAGGCTCTTTTGTTTCCAACTCAGATGCAGAAACAAGTGTTTCCTTGCTCCAACATCAGGACCCTGGGACTCTCCTGGTTTCTGAAACAGCCATGATAGTTTCCACTTTAGTCCTTTTCAAGTTTCACCCTGCAGGCATACTTTTCTCTAGAACCTCAAAGCTTTGTTTTCTTAGAAACAGTCCTGTGCCTTGTGGAAATTATGTAGTCAAATGATTCATCGAAGTCAGTGGTTCATAATTTTTTTTTAACTTCAACAAACTCAGCAACGTAGCAGGTCCTGTCAGAAACAGTGATTCACTGTGGTAGTGATTCAGCAGTTCTTTTCAACAGAACTGGAGGGAGGGGAGGGGTATCGGACTGTGTGTGTTTTCCCTGTCTCTGCTAAATTCCCTTCTTATGGCACTGGTTGTGAGGAGGAGAAAGGATCTGAGATGAGAGATGCTTCTAAGTTTAGGCACTAGTACCATAGTGTCTGTATATTTACTGTTTGTATTTGCATAAGAAAATAACTCTAGATCATTAGCGTATACTCTGAGTTTGAAAGCTAAGGACAATGTTCCTAGGTGTCATTTTATGTTGTTGGACATAACTGCTAAATATGACTGACAGAACGACACCATGAATAGTCTAAAAGTCATTACTTCTCCATTTTCCTGGCATATGATACTTTTCTTGTCAGAATGCGAAAACTAACATAATACTGAGGTTAGAAAAACACTTGCTATACAGAATCCCAATGTTTTTGCCCAAATATAAGCACTTATTTGTTTTTTTCCTGTATAGATCACTTTTCTTTCTTTTTTCTTTCTTTCTGTCCATACAAATGCTGGAAAGTGTGAGTGTCCAGGGGATTTCAGTGAATTTTTTTTGACGTGCAGTGGATGATCCTACTTATGCTTCTTTGTACTGTGTTTGAAGCCTAGAAGCATGTGAAGCCAGTTTCAGCCAGAAATCTAGAAATTACAAGAGCTGATTTTTATTTTCCACAGATAAACTTTTACATTGAGATGTTAAGTATCTTAGAGATCAGATCCTAATTATCCAGACTAGTTTGGGTTGACTTCTTTTGGAGCAAAAGTGACATCCAGTGGTGAGAGAGATTATTAGCTAATGATAGGTAACCAGAAAGGGGGGAGAAAATGATATTTCAAAACCTACAAGGTAATATTTTATCAGTATTATAACCTGAGACGAATGTTATATTAAGTACCTATCACATGGTGCAAGAAGACACAGTAAATATTCACTTCACTTTTTAAAGTATGGATTATATTTTAAGTCATGGAAAATTGACCTCACTTTAGTGAATAACAGTGACTCAGTGCTCTGTATGGGACACTACACCAAGAGCTTACAGTTTTAAGTCAGTGACACTGGAAAAACATTGTATGTGACATAGAAATTAAGAAATATGCAAGCATGTATGATTTTAGGACTGGAGGGGTTTTTCCCATTGAAATAGCTTTTATAGATTAGGACACTGAAGTGTAAGTACCCAAGATCACCTGATCAGTAAGGATCACCTTCACTAAAATCTACATTTTTCTGTTCTCACTCCAGCCCTCTTTCTACTACACTGTTACGACTTAATTTCCCACTTTCTTTGATTTTAAATATTTTCTTTCTTTTCTCTTTATTATAACCATGGCCTTGTGAATCTTATTCCCTGTGTCAGAATAATCACTATAAATTAACTCATACCTTTTTTCGTATCTGAGTTAAAGATAGTGCTACAGTACAATGATTTGGCTATAAAATTACATAAATGTAATTCATGAGAATACAACAGACATTTTTGGTTCTTTATTTAAATGTCAAAAGCCACAACTTCTTATGCAATAATACTTAAAACCAATCACAAAATAGAAACCCTAGAGCAAAAATGGCAAGTCTTTCCTGTGAACAGTTCTTATAACTCAAGAGTTAGCGACTAAAATTCCCCGCAGGCTTGATAGGATGCCTCACTGCCAGCTAGTGCTCCTTGGAACAAGGCTTATGTCATTTTTGGCAAGTGTTTTCATGAAGGGTCCTTGCTGTTACATATACTCTGTTGCATTGATGTGTTTGAAGAGCTTGCCTGGAGATTCTGGGTTAGGTGCCCTGCTGTGATTGATGACTTTCTTACACCCGCTCTCCATCCCCATTGTTCGAGTGAGTAAGAAGAGAAATCTTGTGAAATTAGCACAAGAGTTGTGTTTCCTTTTAAGGCACTTGCAGTGACAAATTGTTATTTTATTCTAAAATACCCTTTTCTGAAATAAGCTGATCAGATACTGTTGTGAATATTTTAAAAAAAAAGAGATGAACCATAATCTTGAAGTTGCAAAATACCTTATTGAATATGTTATGTGGCTTAATATTATGCTACATGCTGGGGTGGGGCAGGAAATAGAAGCCAGTATTATTACCTGTCTTTTATGACCATATAACCTAGTTGGAGAAATAAGATAATATCTGAAAAATATTAAAGACCTAAGTTTAAGAACCACTGTGCCAGACAGGAAAAGAAAGAAAGAAAAGAAAAACAAACAAACAAAAACCTTGGAGACAGGGAGACCACCAAATGGGAAATTGATATAGTAAACATAGAATGAGATAAGCCTAGATATGGGCTTAGAGTATTAGAATGAAAGTAAAGCATAACTCCTAAAGGATTCTGAAGGGGAAAAAAAATAGGAAATACAATTGGGTACAGTGTGTGCATAGTCTTAGCCACTCAGGAGGCTGAGGCAGGAGGATCCCCTGAACACAGGAGTTTGAAGCAAGCCTAGGCAGCATAGCAAGACCCTATGTCAAACAAGCAAGCAAGCAAATAAACAGAAAACACAATATAGTGGTAAGAAAGAGAAAAATGTATGCCAGTTGAGGATTAGAAAGAGTACATTTGAGTAAACATGTCAGATATAAAATGATGGGTGTGCTATGTCCATGTAGATATGTCCTGGACTCCTAAGTAGAGCCTAGATAAATGGGATGAAAGGCACCAAGATGAGTAAGATAAAACACAGAGACACAAAATGAAAGGAGATTTTGGATAAAATGAAGAATACAAGGATGAAGTCGAGTTGCAAAGAGGAGCCAGTAAAGTAGAGGTTCGTTAGTAGAGGTCAGAGCTACAGAGCAGGGTTATGGAAGCCAAAGGAAAAGCAAGGTATCAAAGATAAATAAATGGTCATTGAACATGGTAACTGAAAGGCAGTAAAAGGGGGAAATCTAGCCTTGATTTTTATAGCCGTACTTTTAATTGTTCTATTACCCATTTGTGTCACGGTGTGTATAATACCGATGCATCCATTTGACTGTCCTATAATGGAATTAGACTGCTGATGTGAAAGTTGAAGTCATTCCTTTCACCCAGTTTCCTCTCTGCACTTGCCGTTTCTTTTAGTAGAAGTCATTCTTTGGTCACTCGGGCTTCGCACCTTGCACTCATCCTGAGAGCTGCCTTATCTCTGACCTAGTTAGTTACTATTCATTTCTAGCATTCCAGTACCAAAACTGTGTGGGTTAAAACAGCAGAAGTTTATTTTCTCGTAGTTCTGGAGCCTGGAAATAAAAAATCGAGGTGTCACCTGGCCCTGCGCTCTCTGTGCACTCTGGAGGAGGACCTTTCCATGCAGGTCTTCTAGCTTCTGGTGGCCGTCTTGGTGTTCTTGGTTTGTCAGCCTTTCACCCAGCCTCCGCCTGTGTCTTCACGTGGTGTTCTCCCTGCTTGCCTGCACTTCTGCATCCAGATTTTCCTCCTACCTAAGGGCACAAGTCACACTGGATTTAGGGCCTACCCTAGTCTCATATAAATTCATCTTATTACATCTGCAAAGACCTTCTTTCAAAATAAGGTCACCAACAACCAATTTTCAATTCTCTGGACACCACCTTCATGTTCAGCAGTTCAATCCCAAAACTATCTATCTGGAATTCCTGTCAGACTTCTCAGTTTAAAGAGCTCATTCCCACAAGACCTCTTCCCCTCAAATGCTAATCATAAGTCCAAGCTACCCGATTGGCTATGCATTTGTTTCTATGACCCCCTCCTCATATGATAATTTGCTATGTCAGCTCACAGAACTGACATTCTGCCATTTATTGTAAGGGCTACGAATCAAGAACAGCTAAGGGGAAGGTTTGGGGTGTGGCAGCTGTGTGGCAGTCCCATGTTCTCTTGGGGTGGGCCATCCCTCCCCAGCAGCTCAGTGTATTCCTTAACACAGAAGCTCCCCAAACTCTGAATTTCATTGTTCAAGAATTGCAGAGCTCAGTCTCCATCCACCCTCCCTCCTTGGAGGCCACTGTTTGTCACATGGTCTTCCATCCTGAGGTTATGACTTCGTTTCTAGAAGCTGAGTTGTGATTGAAAGGGATTTTTGGTATGAATTAAAAAAGCACTTATTACTTAGGAAATTCCTGGGGTTTTAGGAGCTCTGCACCAGTAACTGGAGATGAAGGCCAATCATATTACTTATTATACTGAAGTTGCATCTTGAGGTTCTGAGTAGACCTGAATTTTGGGGAGATACTGTTCAACCTGGTAGATGGGTGGTTCCTTTATAATGCAATCTCTTTTCATTCCTGTAGTTAATATCCTTGCTCAGACCTCTACTGTAAGGATATTCTGTATTCAGCCAATCACATGTATTGAGCATCTATTATGTA